ATTATTCGATATACCAAGTTCTGTCTCCTTCCTATTTTCATAACTTTATTCTAATATCGTGACCAATAAACGATGAAAATTTTCTCGATGCAATAGAATTATTTTTATTTATAGAAATATTCCATATTCGAGCAATTGTACAATCGAATTTAATTTTCGAAATTAATTAATTAATGGTAAGGACAGACGTTTGTTTATGTTGTAGAGATAATATGCAATTCGAATAACAAAATGTTAACATCTGATACGTGGAGATTCTAGAATATTTTATTATAGTCCTGTATTTTTCTTTCTTTCTTTTTTTTTTTTTTTACAAACCATTTCGCTTTAATGAATTTTCCATAATGTTCTATTTTCGAGTAACAGAGGAAAGGGGTCGATAACGCGACTCTACAGAAGACATAGAGCACAGATGTTCCTTCGAAACTGTATCGGTATACGGCTATTAGAAATTCGAAGGAGCTGTGCAATTGGTGGGCGAAGGAAATTCCCTGGATTTGGCAAGGTGTGCAATTGTAAATCCTCGGAGGATCATTATATATAGCACGCAGTTTCGCGTGATAAATATTTACAGCGCGGCGGTTGTGTTTCGGGTGAACTGTTCACTGAAAGTTCACTGATTAATCGCGTTAAAATTAACTCGTTCGATTTCGATTCAAATCGAATAGTATTTGAACCACGATTTTTTAGCAATACGTCTTTCTAATCTTACAAAATATCTTACAATAGTGATTAATTATGATATCGGTGTCATTGATGAATTCTGTTATTTGAAAGTGTAATAATAAATTTAAAAAGTAACAATTTTAAGAAAAAGTAATGAAATTTTTTAACGAGTGATCATTCGAAAAGAAGAAATTGAACTCTCTCTCTTGTTTTTTTTTTTTTCCTTCTCTCTATCTGGTTTCTCAAATATTCTCTTGTCTCCCTGAGAACTTTCTTCACAAGTGCTCATGTGGATCATGAATAAGTCTATTTAATCGTACCTTTTACACTCGATTCTTTTACACTCGTATAACTAGCTGCATTTATTTATTGATAAAGCTTTTTAGATAAAAGAGAATTTTACGTCAAAGAAAGGATCCCTTGGGGTGGTACTTTTGCTTCCACGCGCCGAAAACAAAGACACCCTTACGACGACGAAATTATAACTAGGTTGTTGAATAACGCAACTTTGTTGCGATTCTTGTTTACCACTTGTTCTTTATTCTTTTTCGCACGATTAAATAACGCTGATGGCAAATGGACGATTAATCGCACGTCAATAATTATTAATACAAGAAATAAGGATAATATTAATTCGATCGAATTAAGCGATTACAAAATATGATTGAGAACTGATCGTAATCCTGTTAAACGTTAAACGATAATATGTATATATATATATATATATAATTATTTGCACAAGATATGCGCATATTAATTACATTACCTTTGCTTAATTATTTATTTTAATGAAAGATTAATTAAACATGGGTATTCAATATATGGTATATATAACGCTTGTTTCAATATATCCCTGCAAATTGATCCAATAAATCTCCGTACATTACGATCGACACGAAAGTTCAAATGAAATTAGGGATCAGAGGAAAGAAAGCGATACGAGCAGGATTTTGTTCGATGGATAGAACTCGAACAAATTCGAAATTGTTGAGAAATCGTGCATTTTTGAAACGTCACAAAAATTATATCGAGTAATAATGGAATTATATTTTGATCCGTTGCTGAGAAACGAACGAAGAAAGAATGGGATCAACTGTTTCCATTAAGAATTAAAACGAAAGTGGAGGAATAATTGGTTCTCGATAACGAATAAAAATTTAAGCTCGAGTTTTATGGACGGAAGAAATTTTTGCGAATATTAGATTTCCAGATTAATATCCATTCCGAAGAAATACGAGCAATGTACATAAAATTCACTCGCCGTCTTCCTCGAATTATTCACGAATCGAGTATAAACCGAGAAAAGAAAAGAAAATCGAAAAGAGGTATGATGGAGAAACGTTCTTCCAGAATGGGAAACGAGTTAAGGGACTCGAGGACAGGTATAGACTGGGAGTTAAGAACCGTTAAACACAGCCGAGTCGTGTCACTGGAGACGAAGAATGAAGCTGTAATATGAGAGCCCTCGACATACTCCATTATTCACCACTTGAACGTAATATTTGCGGTGTGATATGGTTTCAAGATCCAATCCACTCGCAAGAAGATAAGCAGACGTTGCCCTCCGCCACACTTCCCGTCTCCCATCCCCTCCCCGAACTCTTTAACGGATTTTCGTTCCCATCCAACGTTGAATAACCCCTTTTAACGTCCCCCTCTTCTTCCTGGAACACAAGCAACCCCCCAATCCACCCACAGTTTCTTCCTTTGAACGTGGGGGCATAATAAGACGGTTCGATTCTCGATGATAAAGTGAAAAAAGGGATAAAACCGGCGTGCAATCGACGATGTTTAAATGGTATTTAAACGTCGTAGTGGAGGATTTTCATCACACTGTCGTATTTTTGTGCGCAAATAATTTAATCGTTCGAATGGAAGGGGTCGATTGAACACGATTTTTATTTTTGTATTTCGAAAATGTATATCGATAATTTCGATCGTAAAATTTTTTAATCATTATATTTCAAAACGGAATTGTAAATCTGGGTAAAATGGAATATCTCGTGACACATTTTCGATCGAGCTAGCTTTGAACTGAAAGCGAAAAAAAGATATATTACGTGCATTTATATATACATATATTTGGACACGATTCTATTCCTGGACTCGCATAAATAAGGATTATTTAAATAACTCGTTGTTTATAATATTACGGTAAATCTACGAACGAATTATATTTACCTCGTAAATATTGCTTTGCTTAAATATCACTTGTTGTGATATAAAATAGCCTGAAAAAAAAAAAAAGAAAAGAAAAAGAATCGAAAAGATGATGTTATTATCTATTCGTTCCTCATTTCGTTCGTGCAGAAGCGAAGAATCGGATAAAACCGAGTAAGATCACCAGAAAGAAACGCGTTCAAACGTATTTGTACAACGTTAAAGGACGGATTCGTTGTTAAATAAATATTATTGCAACTCGATAACGTAAAAGTAAAAAAAAAAGAAAAAAAGACTGAATAAAATATAAAACGAAGAATCGATATCGACTCGCGGGATTAATCGCAATTTTCCATCATTCCATAAGTGGAATTCGCGACCTATGTCCAAATATATCGGATTCATGCCGCGCGTAATTCAATACGAAACCATTGAAAAATAACCCTTTGATGCGCATCCAATGTGTATTGTATTTCTTTAACGGAATTTCATCGATGCGTAGTTTATCGCGAAAATATCGATTTTCGATGCTTGAATAAGTTACGAGGCGCGAAACATTCGATGTGTGATGATTATCTGCCTCCTTCGAGGCAGATTTTCCATTCGAGGATTTTCGAGATTATTCGAAAATACGATCATGTCTCTTCGAGAAAGGTCCATGCTTCTCTTAAAAACTCAATCTTGATTCGCTAATTAAAATACATTTGCTACAACGATCTCGTTAGATGGAATTAAAAGCGAGCAGGTTGGCCGCGCGAAATTGTATGATTTCGAGTCGCAGAAACCGCTAATAAATCATCTTAAATCGTCAATTTCCAAGGAGCTTTTAGTTTCGCAACTTTGCCACTCTAGCTCTTCTCACTCGGTCGTGGCGAGTTTTCGCGCGAATTAACTAAGAATTATGCTCTTGTTTATCATAAGTTGTGACTGCGAAATTTACTATACTACCTTCCTCTCGCGACACGGTATCAGGGGCGGCGCGAGAGATCAGGACGATTTCACCGTCCGTTTTTAATTATGATTTAACGTCGCGAGTACGCGACGATAATATTTTTATAACGCGATATAACGCGAATATTTTTAGAGAGAAAAATATTCTTCTTCCATCGATCAAACGGAATGGATGGTGTTTTATTAAAATTTGAAAATATTAAACTTAAAACTGGAATGATATTTTTCCTTTCGATTATATTTTGTTTCGTTTAAAATGTGCAATTACCGGTTTTGATTCGAAAAAATTGTCCCGGATTCCGTGGGATCACGCGTTCCCATCCGCTCGTTGTGATTTTTCATTTCATATCTCTCCCTGAGAGGGTTGCTGTATTTATAGCTTTAGCAACGATAGCAGAGAAATATTGAAACGTTCGCGTGCTCTGACATTTCGCGAAATGCGTTCTGGGTCATCGGGTGAAGATTGACTTTCCGCAATGAAACATCATAAACTTTCGTAAGGATGCTTCAACATTTTCGGATGGAAACAACGTTTCCGACGATGTCTGAAGATCGTTACTTCGTTACATTATCGATATATTACATCAAAGCGATTGAATCAATTTCAAAAAAATTGTCGGGAAAAATGTCATACGTGTAATTCAAAATATATATATATTTTTGCTTTCGATTACATTCGAATATTCCTCTGCTGTATTTACCCCTTGAATTATTAACAAAAATCTTACACAAAGATATCATTCGTTTTCCCAATCACATCTGAATAACAACCTTCCTCACATTCTTAATATGAACGATTGATTAAAATGACATCAGTAACTAAAAAACAACCAAAGCATTTCCCTTAGCTGGATTTAACAATCCAACGATATCTCGATACGCTTGATTCTTAATTCAATCGAATTAACCATTCAGATGACACGTGATCGTGCCCGCATTTCCCCCATTCACGCGTCACCCGCATACAAACGTAACACTTTGAACACGCCCCTCCCTCCACTTCCCTTCTTCGTATCGAGTATACGTGACGATGGTTTAATAACCGTGGCCGAATCGGCCTTGGAGAACGGTCACGTTTTTCAACGCGAATCGGCGGAATCATCCCCCCCTCCTTCTCTCTCACGGATCCTCGTCCTTTTCGCAAACAACGGGCTATGGGAAACAAACACAAACGGCAAAAAACGAAACGAGGCGAGGCGAGGCGAAACGAGCGACGATTCACAGACGATCCTTTTTTCCCCCCTTTTTTTTCGTTGTTGCAGGGAGCAGCGAGCCATGGCTGAAGAGCGTGAAGCACGCGGAGCTGGGCACAGAGGTGCAACTGCCGTGCGTGCTGAAATTACCCCAGTGCGAGGGGCTTCACAGCATCAAATGGTATCGAGGCGCGACCCGTATCTTCATATTCAGCGAGGACGTCGGATTGACGCGGGGGAACAACGACATAGCCGTGAGGTAACGTGCGCGCGCACGATATTCCACATTGCTCGACTTTGTCGCGGCTGAGATCGCGAGGAGAGGCTTTGACAAATTTTCCTTCTTTCTTTTTTTTTTTGACAGTTACTGTTCTTCCCCTCTTTGAACGCACGAGACGCTTTGGCTTGGCCTTCTTTTCGGTTAATGGGGGGTAATTTTTTGGGGGGAGGGATGAGGTTGGAAATGGAAAATTGCGAAATTGATGCACGCATTCGTTTGCCTAGCTTAATTTTGAGAAATTACAATAGTATAACGTTGTAATATTATATTTATTATTATATGTCTTCTCGTAATTTTTTGAACAGTTATTGGGTATACGTTTTCGAATTGATAGCATTATTTCTCGGGAATATGAAATTCCTCGTACGAAATAGAAAGAAGAACATTTGGAGGGTTTTGAATCGAATATGGTTCGTTTATATTGCGTGCAAAAATAAAATCATGTCGTGGACTATATAGAATGAATATACGGGATGATAAATTTATTATTATTGGTAAATATCTGGGAAAATCGTGAAAGAAACTCTATCTGTTTGACGATTCTTAATTCGTATAAATAGTTTGTGTTAACACATTCGCTGTTCGCGACATTATCTCTTTGATTCGTCCAATTCCAAACGATCGTTTAATTTATTTAAATTCTCTGAAAGCTGTATATACATAAAAACAGTTAATCTCTCTGTGATACATTTGTTTTCAATTATTCCTATTAACGATCGTTTATATAGGATCAATAATTTAAACTGGAATAAATTTTTGATTTCCTAAAACAATTGTGTTTTCAAAGAAACTAAAAGAAAGAATAGATATTATATATTTTCTTTCCAATTTAAGAAATTTTTATTATATTTATTCATCAAAATGATCCTATAAATCAATATTTCTCCGTAATACACGCATGCACCGATCTCGAAAAAGAGAGATCGACTTTTTAATTCGCTTAAATGGAGCCCATTAAACGCGAGGAATCACCCCTGTAATGGGCCGGGCCGAGGAGGGATGAAAAGGCTTGATCGCGAAACCGCTAGAAAAATGAATATTACATTGAAGAGATTAAAATGGCGGAATTATTAACGTCGTTTATCCGATACCGTGAAAGCTTCCTGCGACGAGAGGATACGATTCGAAGGATAGGGAACAGCTGGTAATCCAGGATTAAACGAAGAAAGTAGGCCAATCGAACGACTCCCTCTTCGATCTTTCCTAAATTTTTCCTAGAATACTCGTCTTCTTCGACGAGGAAGCTCGATTATTGGGCAAGAATTAATCTCTTCTCTTTTCAAAACATAAATTGTGTTATATAAAATAATAGTCAATCTAGTCTAGTAGAAACTATTGACGATGGTGATATTTGATATTGATCGAGAAAAAATAATGGAAAAATAAGTACATATTGTGTTTTAGAAATTGCATTAATTAATTATTGTACACTTTTCCAATAATTTTCGATATCGAGTTGCTATATATATATATTAGTTTTTACTACTACTGCGAGGAAATAAACGGAAAGATTGAATAGAATTTTATGGTTATACACTCTCTTAAAACTACATCGTTAATTTAAATTAAAAAGTACATGGGATAAAAAAAAATTTCAACTTGTTATTGTAAAGCATACGATTTTTAGTGAGAACGTAACTTTCTTGTGTAAACTTTTCAGCTAATTGAAAAACATATATAATATTAAAAACTTGAAAAAGAAGCATGAAAGTACGCAATATGGAAAGTTAATATCCTCAAAGTGGTTGATGTAATGCACACATTTTCGCATGCAAACACTGCAAGAATAAAAAAAATATCTACGTTTAAGTTTTATTCTTATTACCTGGTCGCTTCTGTTGTTGAACAAATAACTACAGTACGTATTTTTCCATCGGTGGAACAGTTTAAAACAGAGAAATATTTTTAATCTTTGCTGGAAAAAAATTTATTACAAATTTAATGCTAGATATTATTCGATATAAAAATTACTTCATATTAAAATCAAGGCGTAATTTTTAAAATTTCTTTCCTAATAACTGATTTTTCTGCACTAAATCGAATTTCACATTTTACGTACAACTTTGGCCTCTAAAATAACAGATGAAATCAATACCGGATAATTCTGCTTTTCCTCGCGCTTTTTATGTCCACGAGATAAATCTATTCCCATCCACCACATTCTAAACCATCCACAGAATTCTTCGATAAGCGGTGCACCTTCCTCCTAGCCTGGACAGTTACATCTTCCAATTTCCTCGGAGTTAACGTGAAAATAAAAATTTCCACGTTACAGTCTCACAATACACGAATATACACACACACACATATATATATGAACCAAAATCTCTGTATCCCCATTGTTATCCGTGGAATCGCTCCACCGACCCAGTTCGATGGCGACAATGAAAAAGTCGAGAAGAATCGAGAACTTTATTATCCAATTTACCCGTTTCCTCATCGCCCATTGACAATTTTTCGCGGTCCCCCTTCGATCGCCCCTGAATCGTGGGCACGCGATAAAAATTCTCTGGCTGGCTCGATAATAGAAGGCTCGGTGTAATTGAAAACGTCAGCTCGCCATCGGATGAACACTTATCACGTGGCGCGGTCAAAATTGCCTAAAATAAAAGGAAAAGAAAAAGAAAGAAAAGGAAAATAAAAGAAGAAGAGAGAGAGAGAGAGAGGAGGGATGGAAAGGAAGAATGAAAGAGGAAGGAAGGGAAATCGGAATGCTTTATGTTCATTTACATTTCGGAACTTTTATCGTCACATCCGGCCAACTCTTCTCGAACTTTTCTCATTTACCGCCATCCGATTTAATCGGTTGCCTTCTGTCTCCTCGACTCTTCTGCTTCTCCTTTTTTTCTTTCTTTCTTTTTTTTTTTCCAAGGGAATAGTTTCTGTCGCGGAACGCGAACGACTTTATAAGAACGAGCGATCGTGACAAGATTTAAGCGAAGTATGATTGGTTCAACTTCGATATTCGAAAGCACTCGTGCTATTAACTTTCGTCGATATCTTCTTCTTGTTACTTTATCATTCATATTGTTTTAATAGGTTCTCGTAAGTATGAATAAACATTCTTACGTCTGCTCGAATAAAAAAGATTTAAATATGCGTTTTTCAATATGCATTCTTCCCTCATTGTATATTATCAATTTACTGTTATTTGAAGATCAAGTAATGGAAAACTTTTCTCTTCGATTCGAAAGGATCGTCAGACGCGAAAGAAAGAGTTGTTTCGAAAATAGGAATTAAGAAGTTAAAGTGAAATTCGTAATGGAAATTGAAAGATAATATTATTTTAAACCGATTAAACCGATCAATGGAGGCAAATCTTTCACGAAGAAATTTTTATTCCCCGTCGTATAGAGATACGCGAGGAAACGATATCATCCGCTGTATTAACACCGCTTCCTCATTCACCAACCAATCCCGATGAGAGCCTCTTTTCTCTCTCTCTCTCTCAAAATACAATTTTCCGCGGCTAAGATACATTCCAAAGATACGTTCTGTCGGGAAATATTTCTAAGCGCCGCAAAAAAAAAAAAAAAGAAAGAAAGAAAAGTCCAAGGACGGTCGCGCGGCCATCAAATAGGAAATTGACTTCTTCGAGTCTTTCATGTTTTTCCCGGCGTATCGTCGCGACACACGGATAACTTTCATCTCGAAAGATTTATATCGTGGAAAACACGGCTTTCATACGAGCTCAAAGAACGTATTTTACGACGGACGTGCTTCGGATAGTTTGTTAACGATTATGTTACTTTACCATGTACCATTTTTTTCTTCTAATTGAAATATTAATAAATATACAGTTGTTTGGAACAGTTAAGAATTATAATGAATTAATTTCGAGAGACATAATGCAAGTTTATATGGATAGTTGGAAATGTTAGATTCTCTGGTTCTATTAGATTTTATACAGGTTCACTAGAATTTATATTATAAGTATTGTAACTAAACTCTTTATGAATATTTCACATAAATTTCGTTGGCTCTAATTAACTCATTTTATTAAAATGAGATTTTAATCGTCTCAAATAACCTGAGATATTTATTCGTGGAAAAGAATCACGAAAAAGTATGTACGTTTTAAGAAAACAAGGAAAATGAAATCGGGTTTCTAAAAAATTTACGCTCATTCTCCCTTAATCTCGAATTTATAAATATATTTATAAATTAATTTCAAAATAAAACATTTACTACTGGAGGTGCAATGTAACCCACGAATCCACATCTGCTTATCTCGTTCTCTATTTATCTACCTTATCGTACCCTCTTCCCTCTGTATCAGCCATACCAGTTTCTTTGTGCGTCCATCTTCGTCGTTCCGGCGTCTGTTCCCTTATTTTCCACCCTTTCGCCGGCCCTTTGCTCCACGTTGAAAGACGCGATCGTGGAAGCGATTACAAGCAAAAGAAGAAAATTGCCCGGAACTCGCGACTACCATCCGAGATTCCGTATTTGCCTAGCGTTGCACTATTTCTTATGAATTCCGGTATGAATCTTCTTCTTCTGAAGAAGAAGAAGAAAGAAAGAATTCACGAGTAAAGAAAGGGGCGACGCTATATGAATATAGCGAACGATTCGATTCGACGCTTCGATGCTTCGAGCGAATATTAAACTTTAATTTCATAATGATTATACTGTACTCCTTCCCTTCCGTTTCATTTTATTATTATTTGGAATTTATAGATAGATGAGAGATAGAATTTTTATAGCCGTCGTTTCATTTCAAAGATTATTTAGATATTCAACATTTCTAAACTTGTTTCCTAACTCGAAATTCGAGATGAAGAGTTTGCGAATTTTATTTTAATTGTATATTTCAAGGTAAAATTATTTGTTTTAATATGTTATTTGTATTTTTCACTGTAAAAAAAAAATTATATAAATATGAACATACGCGTTTTATCCCAAAACGTTTATTGTAATACCATGTATTACCCTTGTAATGCGAGTTCGTGGAATCGCGTACGAAGGATTAGCAAGGA